TTGATGTGGACTGTGCATTGATTCTCTAACCTCTCTGGGAGCCTTCAAGAAACTCCCTTTCTGAGTAAGCCAGCCTCGGTGTCAACTTTGGGTACAAAAGGACCCGATTATTTTAGTTCCAAATGTAAAGTCACAGGTTCAGGCTTGGTTGGTCTGGGCCACTCTGCTTTGTGGAGGATGTTGGGAGCAAATTGAACACCCTGACCTCTGTCATCTACGGTGAAGACTGTTGGCATTATGCTGAACATTCATTGTCCTCACTGAGCACAAAAAACAAGTATGTTTCATTAAATATGCATCTTGGAGGCCTAGAGTGAGCCCAGAGAATGACCTTGGCCAGAAGTGAACAATTGGCTCTCCATAGTTACTATTGGACAGCGACAGTGTAGAGCAGTATTTGATCAAGGGCAGTGGGGTGTTTGGCTTGAACTTTTCAAAGCCCAGATTATGCTGCCATAAAGAAAATGCACAGCAGCCCTGCAGTCTCCAGGGTTGCTCCTTATGTGAGTAGTAAATTCTCTTCAAGAAGCGGGAATGTTAAGCTGCATTAGGCAGGTATAAATAAAGATGCAGTTTTTATTTGATCTTTAAAGATTTGGTTTAAAACAATTCAGTGTATGTTTTCTGCACTGCTTTCATTAGCAGAACTGCGGATACCATGCTTCCCATGGCTCTCCTTGTGATCTGTGCCTTCCCTTTGTAATACATTAAATTTTATGGCGTTAGCAAGGATTTGAAGCACCAGATTTAATCAATAGTCATTTCTCCTGCCTCAGCACTTTTGCCCAGTGCTGTGTATATTAAGCAGTATTTTAGTGCATTCTTTGACCTTTACCTCCCAGGCGGTACTTCCTAATTATAGCTTTTCCTGTTTGACCATGATATATATCTAAGGTCAAAGGTTATTAATAGCACTTGTGAATTTACCCGCATCCTCTCCCACCCTGCCCCCGCAAAAGATTACACACACACACACACACACACACACACACACACACCCCAAAATCAAAATATTCCCCAATGTATGGAAATCAGGATTATCTGATTTGAACAGAATTTTTGAACTGACAGTCTATACTTTCTAATATACAATCTTTTTATTTCTAATGTAAAACCACACCAAATTTGCTATTTAAGATTCTGGCTCACTCTGGGTGTAATTCCATTTGTGGGCATTCTAAACCAGCAGTTGTAAGAAAATCCATTTGATTCCTTTTACATTGATGTTTTTCTCCTGAAACACTCTGATAATAACACTCTGATAATAACTCTGAAGCCTAGGTCACTAGCAAACTGCCTCATATTGGCAAAGTTCTCAATCTTAGAGAATGCACTTCCTGATTCTCTTATGGGGACACAGTTCCTGTTATTGCTCCCAGGCCTGTAAGTTATGCAAGTGTTCAAGGCCTTGTACTACATCTGCATCTGAGAGGCTAATATGTGCGGCCTCTTACTTCTTGAGTCAAATGGGAAAGTAACTCTTGGCAATAACAGATTTGTCAGCAAATAGGCCGTTTTTATTTTTAGAACAAATTTTCATCATGAGTCGGATCTGGAGGTTTGGAAGGTCACCTCACTTTCAGCAGTTCTAAAGGAAGAATTTGCTTGTGAGTATATCTCAAGTTCGTACTGCTCAACTTTGTCAGGGGCACCAATAACCTCTCCTTTCTCTTACTTCAACTTCCCATTTTTAATCCAAAGCCAGCCTGATTCTTTCCTAGAGACCAGTTGTCCAATAGAATCATCTTTCCAAAATAAGGCTCTCTTCAACATTTCTCAGTCTCATTTTTTAAAGTACTGTCAATTATAGGATAGTGCAAAGCCTGGAGCTGGACCAGCAGAGCCCAAAGCAACTCATTCTACCAGGAATGTTTTTGCAATTTTCCTCCTAGGGCTAATGGCTCCAGTGCCTTAATTGGTGTATATTATCAGAGACATTTGTCCTCTAGTGCCTGGGTGGAAATCAGGGAATTCATGAAAAACAAAATAAGTCAGAAAATGGAGGAAGAAATGTCAGCTATTTTACCATGAGTGTGTTTTTTAGAAAAAATCTTTAAACTTAGAAATAAAAAAAATAAGATAATACAGTTTGTTGGGCTGGAGCGATAGCACAGCAGTAGGGCGTTTGCCTTGCACGCGGCCAGCCTGGCAGAGCTGGGTTCGATTCTTCCGCCCCTCTCGGAGAGCCTGGCAAGCTACCAAGACTATTTTGCCCACACAGCAAAGCCTGGCAAGCTACCCGTGATGTATTCGATATGACAAACACAGTAACAACAAGTCTCATGATGGAGACGTTACTGGGACCACTCGACCAATTGATGAACAATGGGAGGAGAGAGAGAGAGTGCTATAGTTTGTTGAGAAGATTCAGTGATAGCAAGTTTGACCCTCAGTGATGTCAAGAACCCTGAAGATTCTGAAAGACTGTACTCTACTTATAAGCTAATGACTTAATCTGCTACTATAAACCTGGAAAGTAACAAGACTCCAGGATTAGAGATAGTGACTTAAAATCCAACAAAAGCAGTAATCAGAGATTTTGTTATTATGCTGATTAGCTTTACTTCCCACAAGGCAAAGCTATGAGGGCCAGGTAACACCGCATTTGCAGTGGGTTTGTTGTAGAGAGAAGTGCTAATAGGGAACTCCCTCCCCCCCCTTTTTTTTTTTATAATGGTCAGCTAGTATTTTTATCTTTTTCTCTGATAGGTAAAGGTAAAAAGGTAAAGGCCCTCCCGTTGATCGTCGATTTGCTCGAGCGGGCCCAGTAACATCTCCATTGGAGACTTTGTTGTTACTGTGTCTGGCATATCGAATACTCTCGGTAGCTTGCCGGGCTCTCCGAGAGGGGCGGAGGAATCGAACTCGGGTCGGCCATGTTGGCCACGTGTAAGGCGAACGCCCTACCCGCTGTGCTATCGCGGGTATCCTCCAATGTTATACAAGTATTCTTGAAAAAACAACCCAGAGTAAAAACTATGAGAGTCTCTATTTCAAGATGAACCAGAATGTAAGAAACTCATTGAGAATTGTCTCCTGTAATGCAGTACCTGGTTGATGAGATCAGTGAATTCTAGGTGTCTTAATTATCAGTAGAAAACTTAATGCAGTACCGGCATATAGTAAGTTTCAGTACAATGGTAGTTATTTTTACTTTATTTATTTATTTATTTATTGTTGTTAGTGAATCACCCTGAAGTACATTTACATACTTACAAACCTTCGTGCTTGTGTTTCAGTCATACAATGATCGAGTACCCATCCCTCCACCACTGCCCATTCTCCATCACCAATGATCCCAATATTCCTCCCACCACCCCCACGACCCCTCTCCCCACCCTGCCTCTGTGTCAGGGAATTCCCTTTTGTTCTCTCTTTCCTTTTGGGTGTTGTAGTTTGCAATAGAGGCATTACGTGGCCATTGTGTTTGATCTATAGTCTACATTCGGCACACATCTTCCAACCCGAGCCGGTCCTCCAAGCATCCGTTGCTTGGTGTTGCCTTCTCTATCTGAGCTGCCTTTCCCCCCAGCATTTGAGGCCAGCTTCCAAGCCGTGGAGTAAACCTCCTAGTCCTTATCTCTACTATTCTTGGGTGTAAGTCTCCCATTCTCTTACTTTATATTCCACAGATGAGTGAGTGCAATCTTTTTTTTTTTCTGTCCCTCTCTTTCTGACTCATACAATGGAAGTTATTATGAACTAAATATTTACTCGAAAATGATGGGACTTCATTTCTGTTAGTGAGCCTTCAGAACCTACATCAGAGTCTGGTATACATTTTAAATATTAATGGAAACGTTTTGAAAATTAAACCAAGAATATGTGGTTATCAGGTTTTAAAACACACAGCACTCATTTTTAATTTTTTTAATGAATCACCCTGAGGTACAGTTACAGACTTACAAACTTTCATGCTCACATTTCAGTCATACAATGATTGAGTACCTATCCCTCCACCAGTACCCATTCTCCACCACCAATGTTCCCACTATCCCCCGCTCCCCACATCCTTACCTCCCCCCGCCTCTGTGGCAGACACATTCTCTTTTACCCTCTCTCTCCTTTTGGGTGTTATGGTTTGCAATACAGGTATTAAGTGGCCATTATATTCAGTCTATAGTCTACTTTCAGCACGGAAGCATAATTCTTAAACCAGCAATGTTCACAAATTATTAGAGTGCCAATGTCCTTATTAAAAATTCCACAGTAAAGATTTTCATATTATGGTAAGCCCTAACTCAGCAAAATTAGTATTGTGATATTAAGTTTTTAGTATTTGGTTTGTACTGACTGAAGTGTCTTTTGTTGTTTTTATTTGTTCTTTTCTCTTTCTCTTTTTCAAAAATACTATTAAGAAACTGTGATTTACAAAGGTATTGATAGTTAAGTTTTAGGTTATAATGTTTCAACACCAATCCCATAACCACTGTCTACTTCCCTCCGCCACTGTTCATATATTCTCTCCCCTCCCCCAACTCTCCAACTCTAGCGGCAGCCCCTCTTCCCCGCCCCGCCCCCCCAATTAACTTGATGGGCATATTACAAAGTTCCAGTGGTTACATTTTGGATCTCATATCTTCAGTGTTGCTGAGTCCATGTTTTGGATATATGGCTGTACTACTCTCCCATAACACCAGTGTAACTAAAACCCTTGATTTTTTTTTTAAATTTTTTTTTTTAGTGAAACACCATGAGGTACAGTTGTAGACTTACAAATTTTTGTGCTTGGGTTTCAATTATACAGTGATCAAGTACTCATCCCTCCACCAGTGCCCATTTTCCACCACCATGGATCACACACAGCACCCTTTAATTAAAATTTTATCAAAATAATCAAAAAAGATACAATTGATTTTGCATTACAAAGAGTTTTGAGGAAGAGACCACTTCTCCCTCATGTTCCCAGAAAGCCAACACGTCTGCCACCAGGTCACCCTATTTACAACACCCACAGTTTCTGCTTGGAGCAGGAAGAAGAGCCAAAGTAGGTCTGGTCTCTAATCGCCTCCCGCGCTCACGGTGAGAGGAGTGCAGTCCCGACCCACACAGAAGTAGGGCTTCAGCACGTCAGCAAAGTTCTCCATGAACGAGTGGATGTGAGACTTGTCACTCGCGTTGTAAAAGGAAAGCTGGCCCAGCTCATAGTCCAGGTAAACGCCAAGGCGGGTGGGCTTGTCTTTCAGCGTCAAAGGCACAGCTCCTGCCAGGTAGTCTTCATCCTGCAGCTGGACGGTCCAGCGTCTGCGTGGACCTCCCGGGGGCCGCTGCTCTTTGCCGGAAGGGGCATCGATGCACACCCCCACGGCCCACTCGGGCTTGTTGCCCACCTGCACCTCCCAGTAGTGCCGGCCGCGAGAGAAGGCTTCCCGGCCCAGGACCGCCAGCTCAGCGGCGCTTTCTTCCCATCTCTGGGGTTTCCTGCCTCGTTTGGGCCTTTTCCTCACGTAGCTCACTGACCTGAGATCCTTGGACAAGCGCAGACTGGGGTGAGCTGTCTGGGGATCCAGGCTGATGTGCTCTCGGAATTTCTGGATGATGCTGCTCAGCGTCATGCAAAGCGGTGGGAGGCTGTAGTCGGGCCGCCTGAAGTGCAGGGGATGCAGGGTGGGTTGCTCCAGGCCCGCGCAGCGCTGCTGTAGGTCCCTCGCTCCGCGCAGCACCATCTCTCCCGACATCACTCTCCTCTCGGCCACCTCCCCGAGGAGGCCCTTCAGCGAGGACACGTAGTCGGAGAGGGCCTCGAGGTTGGCGTCCAGCTGCTGCTGGAGGCGTTTCTCCTCTTCCGCCAGCCTGAGGAGCGCCGCCTCCTGCTCCCGCTCCACCAGCTGGCTGAGCTGCTTGAATTCCGAGGTCAGCTGGCGCCTCTGCTTCCCCATCTCCTCTCTCAGCTGCAGGAGCTTCTTGTCCTGGTTGACCGCGAGCTTCTGCATCTCTGCCAGCCGCTTCTTCAGAGGCACGATGTAGCCGCAGAGCCTCTGCTTGTGATGAGTTGCGGCCTCCGCCACTGACCTCACCTCGTGGCCCTGGTGGGCAGGGCACTGGGTGCACATGGAACACAACAGCTCTCGGTCTTCCTCACAGAAGAGGCTCAGGACCTGCTGGTGCTCCTTGCACCTGTGCTCCTCTCCCGGCGTCGCCTCGCTGCTGCCCGCGCTGTGGAGGAGGTGGACCAGCTCCACTAACCTTCTTAGCTGGGTGTTGGCATAGATGCGCTTCTCCTGGCGGGACTGCCTGCAGACTGGGCACGGGAACGCATCCTCGAGGTCCTTCCACGACATCTGGAGGCAGGAGTCACAAAAGTTGTGTCCGCATTCGATGGTGACAGGGTCATTGAGGTAGTTCAGGCAGACGGGACAGATGAGCTCTGCCTGCATCTTCGCCAGGCCTGCAGACTCCATCTTCAGGGGTGGGAAGTGCAGGACTGGGATGGGTTTCCTCAGAGGGCCAAGCTCCTGAGATTCTCTCTGCCAGCCACTGGTCACAGTCAGGTGCAGGAAGTCCAGTTCAGTAGCTCTCTGGAGCAGAAGTCAGTCAGGACGGACTGGTGCAGATGAGTCACTCGAGTGGAGAGTCCGGCCGCCGGCGGCGGAGTGGTCGGTGCTGGTCCTGAGCTAACTAACTCTCCTTGCAGAGATGGAGGCGTCAGCTCAGCTCAGCACAGTGGTCACTCCGGAATGACCACACTCTGCACTGAGCACAGCGCTTATATAGGTCACTGGGTGGAGCCCTAGAGACCCACCCAGGAAACCCTGAGGGGGAGACAGGGTGGGGCTGATATGCAGATTTGCAGAGGTGTGATCTACTTGGCAAACACTGTTCTGACTTCATGGAAGAGTGCAGGGAACCTACATTAATACTCAAAATCTGGTTTTCACAGTGTAGTGCTTTCTGAATTGTCTTCACATGCCTCAATCCCATCCTTGTTGAGGAAAAGTAGATAAATTGGGTTTTGGGGGTCGGAGAGAGCGAGAGAGAGCAGTTGCTTGTCAGGATGGAAACTGGGTGGCAAAGTCAGGAGAAAATCCTGTGTCTGGAAGGGAGTGACTGGCCCCAGACAAAACAAACAAAATACCAGTTGCGCAACAAATCCGCTCTCTCCAGAGAAGTGAACTGAGGGACACAACTTCTCCTTTTGTAGAGTCTGTTGTGAGGCTTTTGAGAACATTTTTTCATTAACATGTAAACATTATCTCCTGATTGGCAGGCAAATGACATCAGCAAAGGTTTGGTACTGGAACAGTACATAGCTGTAACTCAACTACGGATAACCATAAATCACAGTACCCTATTCAGATCTCCTACAAGGCCACATCAGTCAGTGGGGAAAAGCCCTGTTCTGATGAACCCTAGAAAGCAGTCACCTGGTAGACAATAATTTTAGGGTTTTTCCATTGCAAAGAATAGAGGCAATATACAAAGAAATGGAATAACATTGCCTTCCAGACCTTTTATAAAATTACCTAAAATAAGCCTCAGTACCGGGTGAACACGAGTCAAAAGTAAGTTCTCCAAATCATCTCTTGGAGGAGACTCCATCACTGTGGATAGCAGTGTTTAATGTTTGTTTTTAAGCCACACTCAGCTCTATGTTTGGTGTCACACCCCGTAGCACCTGGGGAACATGCAGTGCTGGGGTTGGATTTGGGCCTCTCTAAAACATGTATCACTCTTCTTTCCCTTCTATTATATAATTCTCTTTCAGAACATTTTGCATGTAGTAAGCTATTAGCAAATATGGCTTCAGAGAAAACGATGCATGATCCTAAAGTTTTAGTGATAGAAATTGAAGGGTTAGAAGAAGATACTTAGGGGCTGGAGTGAAAGCACAGTGGGTAGGGCGTTTGCCTGGCATGCGGCCAACCCAGGTTCAATTCCCAGCATCCCATATGGTCCCCTGAGCACCACCAGGGGTAATTCCTGAGTGCAGAGCCAGGAGAAACCCCTGTGCATCGCTTTTTGGGTGTGACCCCCCCCAAAAAAGAAAAAGAGATACTTGAACTCCAGGGGTGGTAAAAGAATTTACCAAAAGAGATGGTTTAAGGAAGATTTAAGTTGATTTATTTAAAAAGGGTATGCTCCTGAGACTGACATAGCTCCCCTGAAAGACCTATCCAACATTATTCTTTTTTTCCTTTTCCATCTTGGGGGCATACCCAGCAGTTCTCAGGGACTACTCCTGACCAGTTTGGGGGAGCATATGGGATGCCAGGATGTGTACAAGGCAAGTGACCTACCCATTGTACTATTTTTCTGCCCCCATCTAGCATTTTTTTTCTTTTTTGGGGTCATATCCGACAATGCACAGGGGTTACTCCTGGCTTATGCACTCAAGAATTACTCCTGTTGGTGCTCAGGGGACCATGAGGGATGCTAGGAATCAAACCCAGGTTGGCCGCCTGCAAGGCAAACGCTCTACCAGCTGCCCCCTATCTAGCATTCTTAAAGGTCACTTTTTATCTGGGCTGCTTTGGATGGTAATATTTTGCTTTTTAAAGATAGTTCGGGGGTGGAAAAATAGTACAGTGAGTGGGTAAGGTGCCTTACTTTCAGACAGCTGACCCACGTTTAATCCCTGGCATCCTGTGAGAGAAGGCCCGATTTGCTCGAGTGGGCCCAGTAACGTCTCCATTGGAGACTTTGTTGTTACTGTGTTTGGCATCTCGAATACATCACGGGTAGCTTGCTAGGCTCTGCCGTGCAGGCGAGATCCTCTAGGTAGCTTGCCGGGCTCTCCGAGAGGGGCGGAGGAATCGAACTCGGGTGGGCCATGTTGGCTGCGTGCAAGGCAAACGCCCTACCCGCTATGCTATCGCTCAAACTGATGGAAATTTATTGGCATTGGGGGCTCTGAAGGAGGGTGGTGATGGATTTTGAGTGAGGTGAAACCAGAACCACCACAGCAAGACAGGTGGTGTAGGCAGTTTTACACAAAATCCTTTGTTCTTCATAATCTTGTTAGCCTAACTGCATATTAGTTCGTGTAGACCTGCTTGCATGCTTGCTTCTGCACCTGAAGACATAAAAGCAGAGTAGACCCTTTGCTTGGGGTGAGAGTTGTCAGGATGATCTGAATGAACTCTTGATCCTTGCGAATTTACTCCTTTCTCTTCCACCCATCTTGGCCTGTGATCTCGGTTCCTTGGACTTGCCACATGGTCCCCTGAGCACAGCCAGGTGTCATTCGTTAGTGGAGAGCCAGGAGTAATTTTTGAACTTTGATGGTGCCACTCCAAAACAACACAAAAATAAAGATTAAAATTAAATTAATCACTTGACATCCCTTAAATTAAGGGCTGAGTGATAGTACAGCGGGTAGGACGTTTGCCTTGCACGTGGCCGATCAGGCTGACCCGAGTTCGATTCCTCCGCCCCTCTCAGGAAGCCTGGAAAGCTACCAAGAGTATCTCTCCCGCATAGCAAAGCTTGGCAAGCTACCCGTGACGTATTTGATATGCCAAACATAGCAAAAACAAGTCTCACAATGTTACTGGGCCCGCTCAAGCAAATCGATGAACAAAGGGAGGACCGCGACCCGTGACCTTGACTAGAAATCTATTCCTTGCCATGATGTCTTAGATTATTAAAATGGCTAAAAAGTTAGCAAGACCATGGAGAATTTGAGATATAAATAACACACAAAGAGATAAACAGTTCTAGTATGAATTGAAAGTTTATGCCAGCTCAGGAATTGTACTTCTTTTCACTTGTCAATTTACTGGAATTCATGTAAATTTGCAATTAAAAAGTGCTCAAACAGTCACGCCTAGGTTTAACTCTTCTCTAATTTCAGAGATTAAAACTCAGGAGTCACATTATACCACATTATACCAATTGCTTCTCCCTGTTCAGGCTCTTGCCTTGCTCTCAGCCAACCTGGGTTCCACCTCAGGACACCCTATAGTCCCCCCACAGCACCACCAGGAAATAACAAGAAATTAAAAAAGAAAAGGGGAAATAAGGGGGGAGGGGTATCATTTTGTTTGGTTATCTAAAAGAGTCAGGAGAATATTGGAAACCAGGATCCAGGCATCACTAGGATATGCCCACACATGGTTGCCTCATTGCATCATTGCATAGTATTGTGCTAATATGCAATGATTTTTGGCTAGATTTGCATAGTTGATTAAAGTGCAAACTCTCCTGCCTCTCTTTTGTGTAGATAAGCCTGGTTCATCCATCAGCAACTGAATAAGATACAGTTGTTTTTAAAATAGGCTGGAGCAATAGCACAGCAGTAGGGCTTTTGCCTTGCGCAGCTAGCCTGGCAGAGCCGGTTCAATTCCTCTGCGCCTCTCAGAGAGCCTGGGGCATATTCAACATGCCAAACATGGTAACAACAAGTCTTACGAGATGTAGACGTTACTGGGCCTGCTCGAGCAAATCGATGAACAACGGGAGGACCGTGACCATGTGACCGTTTTAAAAATCTGTGTCTCAAGGCTACAATGCCGCAGTTGCAAAGCCCTAAATAGCACCTTAAAAAAATCCAACTTGACCAGGCGTTGGTTTCTTGGTTATTGGGGGGAGGGAGGGCACTGCTGGATTTGTTCCTTTAAGAATGAATGTTGGGGGAGAGCTGAGCAGGTCAGACTGGTATTATTATTATTATTATACAGATTCAGTATTCATAAGCTTAGAGCACCGGGCTGCTACTGTTTGTCAGTTTGGTTAGATTTTTTGGGGTCTCTGAGGAAAGTAATGAATAAAAAAGTAATAATGTGCTGTGTACCACCTGCTGTTCTTTAAACTATAGTGAAATTTCCCCTGATAATTCTTTTCCATTAATCCTTTTTCCTTTGTTAGGGTATCTTTGGAAAAATTGCTAACTTGGCAGCTGAAAATATTTTCTTGGCAAGTCCTTTGACAGTGTAATTGTATTAAAGTGGATTTTTCTTATCTCTGTCTATAAGTAATTTTTAGGGGGGAGGGGTTCTCTTGGAGAAAGAAAGATAAAAATAAAATGGCATATCTTTATCCTTCACACATCATTATTTTTGAAACTTTGGAAACCAGCGAAACTCACCATTCATTGTGAGGAATTTTAGCTTTAAATCAGCTGCCATGTCAAGAAGCATTAGTGAGGCATAACACGACAGGCTTTCGCAGATGGGCCTGGTGTCTTCTGAATGGTTATGGAGCATATGTGAACTGTCAACAAACAAGCCCCAGAAGTGAGTTTTTAAATCTTATCATCCCCAGTCTCACTGATTCTGGCCCCTAGAACACAAACGCAATCTGCCAATTATGACAACATTTTCTAATCTTAATTTATCAGAAGATTTAAACTTGCATTTTGATATTTTGTGGAGCTACTACTTCAAAACAGATTTTTAGGCAAAAGCTATTTGTGACTTCCACAGAGAAGCTGGGGTTATAAGAGCAGTATATTCGTATATTC